GTATGTGGAAAATAATGTGTTTTTTTAACCTTAAACCGCATAAACACATTTCATTACACCAAATACACAAAATAATGTTCTTTTTAGCAGCATCATATGACCCCTTTAACTTAATGTTTTTCAGCAGTCAGTAATGAAGAATCAAGAATGGACACCAACCTGTTTGTTCCTCAGTATCTTCATGATTCATTCTGGATGGTTCAGGATCACTCATGTCGACAGTCTACTCTTAAACAAAATAAGGATGAAACAAAGCACAGTTTAAACTACATCTAAACTACACTTAAATCCAAAACTGACAACTTAAACCCACACAAGATAAACATCCCCAGACCGATCAAGTTCATGAATAAATTCAGATTATGATTTCTAAACCGTGTTAGTACATCTTTTCTACATTAGAAATGAAACACTCATAACAAAACATTTAATAAATCCTACTGTTCATTACTCGCTTCAATATCCAGAACTGAAATACCTCACCTCTCAAGCTTTTTCGTGTCAAACTTTGTAAATCACTACTTTCTTCCGCACGTCCTCCGTTTATTTATTTTTTCGATTCAAATGGAAACTAGAGCCTCTTTATTGTGATGCTGCCACCCACTGGATATTCCTGGTGATTTATAACACAAGATGTAGATAGAAAGAGTAACTAACGTGAGAACTAAAGCACCAACACACAAACAATCTATTACTGCCTCTGAACAGAATCAAATATCTGACTAAAACACTATAAATAGACTAACACATTACTAGGAACCACATATAAAGGAGGTGTTTCTGTGAAGTGGTAATTTTATTAGTTATACAGAGCCTTATGTTGCATAGATTTATTTTTTTATTTATCATATATATTTTTTAAATGTGTAGATTCTATCTGTGTTGTATTTATGATCATTTCTGTACATCCTAAACATTTGCAACAGTATTAATGTTGAATTTATGTGACTTAAACGTTCATTCTCAATTAATCAAGCCTTTTATCTTGTTTTATTTTTTTTATTTTTTTCAATCAGAACACTATATAGTATGTATTAATGGACTGATTTGTCATAAGGCACTAGTGCACCAAACATTTCACCAAGTTTAAAAAATTAAACTAGATGATATTGTGCTTTTGGTTTAAACACTGTATTGTTTCTCTTGCACCTTGTGTTTTTTGTATGTTACATGTGTATGTTTATATAATTTCCATATACTACACTGACACTCGTATTTCTGCATTGCTTTGGCTGACAACAAATGAAACGCTATTTTAATGTTTTGCCTTTACTATTTTGATTAAAATTAAAGAAACATATTTTAAAATCTCATAGCCTGTCCTGTATCAATGTACAATTCCTATTTTTAATACAAATAACATAAGTTTGAAACAACAGGTCTACCATGTTTAAATATCTCTCCAATAGTTCCCCGTTTTCTCCTCATTCATTCTGATGATGTCTGAGATCTTCTGTAAATTGGCACATTAAGCACATTTCATTGTGTGTCAACAGACTGAGACAAACTACAGGATCATCATAAATAAATGTTATTACTGCCACTGAACAGAATTAAATGTGACTAAAATATAAAATGAATAAGCATATTATTTAAAATCACAAGTAATCAGAGAGCTTGTCACTCAAATAAAAATGTTAGTGTTATTATACAAAGCATAGACCTGTTTTATGTTTTAAAATTAGTGCTGTCAAACGATTAACTGCGATGAATCGCATCCAAAATAAGTTTTTGTTTACATAATAAATGTGTGTGTACTGTGTATATGTATTATATATATATAAATACACACACATGCATGTATATATTTAAATATGTTATGTTTATTGATTAAATATATTGATATATAATATAAATAATATTAATATACATTTATACATGTAAATATTTTCAAAATATATACTGTATGTGTGTATTTATATATACTTAATAAATAGTGCTGTCAAATGATTAATCGCAATTAATCACATCCAAAATAAAAGTTTTTGTTTACATAATATATATGTATGTGTGCTGTGTATATTTATTTTGTATATTTAAATACACACACATGCATGTATAAAAAATTGATTATTTTTATATATTTATTTTTAATATAAATTATATGAATATAAATTTATTTATAAATTTATAAATGTAAACATTTTCAAAATATATAAAAAACTTTTATTTTGGATGCGATTAATCACGATTAATCGTTTGAAAGTACTATTTAAATTCAAATTGAAGAAATCATTTCATATTGGGATATGGCTGATTGTTGATTTGTAATGCATTTATTTCTGGTCTCTTTTAATATTTGTATTTCTTTGTCCATGTCTTCATGAGGAGACAATAAAATAAAAAAAAGGTCATGATTTGCATCATCCCAACATAACTGCACTGCTAGTTACACACTCTCTCTTCTCCTTCTCTCCACTCTCGGAGACGGACGTTTCTAAACTTATCCTTTCCAATCATCCTACTACTTGTCCACTTGATCCTATCCCCACTCACCTTCTTCAGGTCATTTCTTATTCAGGCATACCTTCGCTTACTCACATTATCAACACCTCTCTTCACACTGGTACATTTCTCCCAGCATCCTGCAGATTTGCCTTATACAACATTAGGAAGATTAGACCCTTCCTGTCAGAGCATGCCACACAACTTCTTGTCCAAGCTCTTGTTCTCTCCAGACTGGACTATTGTAATGCTCTCTTGGCGGGCCTTCCCGCATGCACTATCAAGCCTCTGCAACTGATCCAGAATGCAGCAGCCAGAGTGGTCTTCAATGAGCCAAAAAAAGCTCACGTTACTCCTCTCCTCATCAGGTTACACTGGCTACCAGTAGCATCGCAGTACCAGTAGCTCGCATCAAATACAAGGTACTGATGCTTGCCTACAAGACCACCACTGGCGCTGCACCAATATACCTAAACTTGCTAGTTCAAACTTATGCGCCCTCCAGAAGCTTGCGTTCTGCAAGTGAACGGCGCCTTGTGGTGCCATCCCAAAGAGGCACAAAATCACTCTCACAGACCTTTTCCTGGACTTTGCCCGGCTGGTGGAATGACCTCCCGATCTCAATTCGAACAGCTGAGTCTGTAGCCATTTTCAAAAAACATCTAAAGACACATCTTTTTCGCCAGCACCTGACCAACTAATACTAGCACTTACCTATTCTATTCCATTCTATTATTTAATAATTAATAATAATAAAAAAATTAAAAAAAACTAGCTACGTGTACTGTGCTAGACTAACTGAGACTTGTCATGGCACTTGTATACTGTTGTTCTCTCGTTGGTCTGATTGCTTCTATTGTTCTCATTTGTAAGTCGCTTTGGATAAAAGCGTCTGCTAAATGATTAAATGTAATGTAGTTTATTTCAACCATCGACACATTTAAAAGAACGCAATAACCTAATTCACCAAATCACACATAATTTACCAAAATGCACCTATATTTGAGGATAACATTTCTTCACAGAACAATGCTTTTTAATATGAGTCACCAGAGTTGTTGACTGAGTGAAACTCTTTCCACACTGAGTACAGTGATACGGCTTCTCTCCAGTATGAACTCGCTCATGCTTTTTCAGGTTTCCAGACTCAGAGAAACTCTTGTCACAATATGAGCACTTGTAAGGTTTTTCTCCAGTGTGAACTTTCTCATGTGTTTTCAGGTGTTCAGACTGAATGAAACTCTTGTCACAATATAAACACTTGTAAGGTTTTTCTCCAGTGTGAACTCTCTCATGTGTTTTCAGGTGTTCAGACTGAATGAAACTCTTGTCACGATATAAACACTTGTAAGGTTTTTCTCCAGTGTGAATTATTTTGTGCCTTTCCAATTGGCTAACATCAGTAAAGCTCTTCCCACACTCAAAACACATGCAACCTCCTTCACCAGTTTGAATTTTCTGGTGTAGTTTGCAACTGTTACATCGTGAAATACTCTTTCCAGACAAAGAACACAAGCGAGGCCTCTCATCTGTATGATTGTTTTCCAGATCAGACTGATCACTGTTAAATTCCTTTTTTTCAGAATGAATCCGCAGATGATTTTTGAGAACTCTGGCATCTTTGAAACTCTCTCCACACTGAGTACAGTGAAACGGTCTTTCTCCAGTATGAACTCGCTCATGTGTTTTCAGGTTTCCAGAGTGACTAAAACTCTTGTCACAATATGAGCACTTATAAGGTTTTTCTCCAGTATGAACTCTTTGGTGCTGTTTCAGATAGGCAGCTGTAGTAAAGCTCTTCCCACACTCACAACACAAGTGATCTCTCACATAATTATGCATTTTCCGGTGCTGTTTATAACTGTCCAATCTTGAAAAACTCCTTCCACAGAGAGAACACAAGTGAGGCTTCTCATCAGAATGAACTTTCAGGTGTGTTTTTAGATTTGATGATGAAATAAACGTTTTACAACACTGATCACAGTTAAATGGCTTTTCTCCAGAATGAACACGCAGACGATAACTGAGAGCAGATGGACCAGTAAAACTCTTTCCACACTGAGGGCATGAGTACAGTTTCTCTCCAGTGTGAATTCTTATGTGACTTTCAAGGTATTTTTTGTGTCCAAAACTCTTTCCGCACTGTGAGCAGATGAGCCGCTTTTTAGCTTTGGTTCTTTTAATTCTGAACTTACGTTTCACATCCTCTTGTGTTTGCACCATCACTTCCATCAAGTCTAAAATAAACATATTAAGTAATTAAACTCTGTTCACAGAGGATACATGTAAAAATTCAAGTAACCCTGATTTAAAAGGTTAGTTCATCCAAAAAAAAAGACCTGGTGAGGTTTCTGTCCATTGATAGAATCTTAACTAGTAAGACATTGGAAATGCAACTGCAAATGGACTTTGAGTTTCCATTTAAAATTTGACAGACATGTTACATACACAGAAAAGAGAATGGAAACACAAATGCGCGATTTGCATTATGTCGCAATGTATGCGTCCACAAAATGTAAACGCAGTTGCAAATACAGTTTGCAATTCCTTTTGAATATTATCTGGAATATCATTCCATCGATTAAGTCACATGCACAGCGTGCCTCAAATATGGTAAACATGGATATGACCATTTTAATTGATGGGTGAACTAAAGCTTTAATTTGACTACTAATTATCAACACTTTGACACGAATGATAGTTCTGTCATTCTCTTGGTAATAGAATATATTGTATTAAAAACTGCTATACAACATTATGAAACATTTCTGTATTTATCATATCTATATTGCTCATCATTTCACAGCAACCAAATCAGTCAATAATGAAGAATGAAGAATAGAAACCAACCTTTCTTATCCTCAGTATCTTCATATTTTATGGCGCATAACTCTGGATCACTGACGTCCTCATTTTCCTCTTTAATGTGCTCCATCTTTACCATAGTATGTCAGACAGATTGCAGTTGTTACACCTGGGCCCGGTTTTTCAAAAGTAATCCACTAGGATTTTGGATAACGGATGGGGTGGGGTTTTTCTTGTTTTTAGTTTTTTTTAAATGTGTGGGTTTTCATTTCAAATAAAAATAAACTTATATTGACCCCACACTGGCTATTCTACTTGTTGCTCTTTACATATCTATAGTTCTACATTGTGATTTCCTATCCTGTTTCAGCACTGGTTATCCAGCACTGGTTATCCAGATTTGGTGATCCTGAAAAGTTCCTATCCGGATCAGATTGATCCAATCCGATGTTGCTTTAAAAAACTGGCTCCAAAAGTAAGCTGGATTACGTGATCACGGATCGCAAAAAAAGGATTACTAAATCCGGATCAATTTTATCCGGATTAAACCTTTTGAAAAACCGGGCCCTGGAGTCTCCTGGTTTATATGGTGAATTGTGGCACTAGCTCTCGTTGAAAATTAATACCATCTTGTGGTTTCAGCTTAAAGAACCAGACCTGTTGAAATCAAACCAACCCGATCTCATGAAAGTGCGTATAAATAGTACGCCAAATAAAAACGAAAACTCGTGGTATTGATACGCATTGATTGAGCCCGGTCTAATGAAAATGCGTATAAATAGTACGCAAAATAAAAATACTCGTGGTATTGATACGCAAAAATGGACTTTGGCGTGTATATGCTACGCGATGGGTAGGTTTAGGGTTGTGGGGTAGATGCGTATCATATGTACGCGAAAACTGCGTATCATATGCACGCCAACAAATTTCGTATTATATGCACGCGAAAACCGCGTATTATATGCACGCCAAACACATGCGTATCATATGCACGCCAAAGTCCATTTTTGCGTATCAATACCACGAGTATTTTTATTTTGCGTACTATTTATACGCATTTTCATTAGACCGGGCTCAATCAAACATAACATGTTTATAAAACTGATTCTGACATCAAGTATTTTGGTGCAATTTATCCCTTTATTTTTGTATTTATTTATTTTGTATCTCCATACTTTCATCTGTCTTATGCAATTTTATTAGGTCTTTTTTATTTTTGTGAAAACACTATAGTAGTACATTTATAAGATTTATGTCAGTAAACAGATTACTCTGCAAACAATTTCCTAGTAATCGTTTGCTTGATTAAAATAAACAATATGCTGTTCTGATAGCATCTTTATTGTATCATAATGTAAAAACACATTCCCAAATGAAGCTGCATGCAATAACGTGTTTTCAGTTGTAAATGTTCTAGTTACAGCAGTGAATTAAGTTTAGTTACATTAAAGAAAGTTAAAAAAAAAATCTAATAATGATTTATAAGGACGTAAAAATGGCTATGAAACATTTAAGCAAGCTCATGGCATCTACAAACGAAACTACATTTACAAGATTTATACAGTTGGTTAAATAAGCAGCTGGCACTGCCACAGAAGCAGCTGAGATGTTAAATTATGTTCCTACGACAAAGTGAAACGAAAACATTAAACAAATCGAAAGACAGTAAATAGCCTAACTATTGAGCGCGACTGTTAATGAATGTAACGCATCAGCTGCATACAAACAGACTTTGTTCCGTTCAGATATTAACATTTCTGACTAAATCCATCATATGATTCTGCCTTTAAGTGTTTTCAATTTGACCTCTTGTAGTTCGCTCGTTCACTCTCGTCTGAAATTTGCTGCCGCAAACGCGCTATCTACTGTCGTAAACACCTAATGTAAGAATTGAGCAACAAACGTTACTCGCTTCCAAGGGGGCGCTGAATGACTGACTCATTGATTTTACACTGTTTTTGTTGGCATAAAGCGGCAGTTTACACTGAATAAAGCGTTGTCGCTTTAATTTCAATCCAAAATTTAAACACATTTCTTTGTTGCACACAAAGAACAAAAATGCTTCCCATAAATAAAACATGCACATCCCACCTCTCCCTGATAGCGGGAGATATATACTCCCTAAGATTATATAAAATATCCCAGAAATGAGTGACTCTTGTTTCTACCTGGTACCTTCAGTTTTAGTGGTCAGTCAATATGCATTACCATAAAAAGCTGGTATTAAAATGCGTTCAATTCTATAACACATTACGTAAAATCGCACATAAACAGATGTTGTCTTGTCAGTGAAATGGTAATTTTATTATTTTATATATATATAGAGCCTACATGAAGTTTATGTTCCAGAGAAATATATACATATACAGTGTCTGATTTATTTGAAAACTCCAAATTAAAACTCACAAACTGAGGGAATCGTTTCAAACTTGGTTTTTGTTACATTTGTTTCCTGTCTGTTTTGCTACTTTGTCTAAGTCTTTATAGGGTGATTTTCAATCAAATAATAAAAATGCATAAATGCAAAATTTAAGTCATAATTTGCTGTTCCCCAGCAAAACTACGTTATTTGAACAAGCTGCACACTTACTTTATCTGAATCTCACGTACTTGAAAAAGTATTTGAATCTGAAGAAAACATTTGCTCACTCTGACACAGAACAATGCTTTTCCATATGAATCGCTACAGTCTTTGACTGAGTGAAACTCTTTCCACACTGAGTACAGTCATACGGCTTCTCTCCAGTGTGAACTCGCTCATGTGCTTTCAAGCTTCCAGACTGAATGAAACTCTTGTCACAATATGAGCACTTGTAAGGTTTCTCTCCAGTATGAATTCTTTTGTGCCGTTTCAACTGGCCAACTGCAGTAAAGCTCTTTCCACAATCCAAACAAACGTATTCTTTTACATCATCATGCATTTTCTGGTGCATCTTACAACTGTTCAGTCTTGAAAAACTCTTTCCACACAAAGAACACAAGTGAGGCTTTTCATCTGTATGAACATTCATGTGACATTTTAGATTTGATGCCGATTTAAACTTTTTTCCACACTGATCACAGCTAAATGGCCTTTCTCCAGAGTGAACGTGCAGATGATAATGGAGATTTTTGGTGCTTATGAAACCCTCTCCACACTGAGTACAGTGGTACGGCTTCTCTCCAGTGTGAACTCGCTCATGTGCTTTCAGGTTTCCAGAAAGAGTGAAAGTCCTGTCACAATATGAGCACTTGTAAGGTCTTTCTCCAGTGTGAATTCTTTGGTGCTGTTTTAGTTGACTAGCTGTAGTGAAGCTCTTCCCACACTCACAACACACATGATCTCTCACTTCATTATGTGTTTTCTGATGCTGTTTACAACTGTCCAGCCGTGAAAAACTCTTTCCACACAAAGAACACTCATAAGGCCTCTCATCTGAATGAACTTTCTGGTGTGTTTTTAGTTTTGATGACGAAATGAAATGTTTACCACACTGATCACAGATAAAAGGCTTTACTCCTGAGTGACAGAGCAGATGTTTACTGAGACCTGATGAACGAGTAAAACTCTTTGCACATTGATGGCATGTGTATGGTTTCTCTCCAGTGTGCATTCTTGCGTGTGTGTTAAGATTTCCTTTGTGTGTGAAGCTCTTTCCACACTGTGAGCAGGTGTGCAGCTTTTTGGCTTTTGTTCTTTGAGCTTGAAAGGTACAACGTTCGTCCTCTGCTTCATTTAGTTCATGTACTTGCTGGTTCACTTCCATCCAGTCTAAAATAAAAATAATATGTGGTTAAAATCAGTTCAAGTGAACCCTGGTTTAATAGCAGAAAGAAACAGAGATATCTATATAAAGTATCAGATGTCTGATGTGCCAAAGGTTAGTTCTGTCATTCTCTTGTTAATTAAAATAAAATGTGGATGACAACTGCTATACAACAAGATTCTGATCATTTAAATGCATTTTATGTATCATTTATCATCTTAATATTACTCAAATCAAGAATACACCAACCTGTTTGTTCCTCAGTATCTTCATGTTTAATTATACACGGTTCTGGATCACTCATGTCGCCAATCTCCACTTTAACAAACTCCATATTTCTCATATTTAAGTAAATTTCTCCTGTTATTTACTCTCAGGACAATCTTCTTCTTTCACGTTTTGTGGCAGGTTCTAAACCACTTTACGGTGCATTTGCTCCATCTACTGGAGTGTAGAGCACTGTGTTTGCAAAAAGGGAATAAATGACCCAATTCCTGACATTCTGTTCTGCTCAGTTTGACTTAATTTAATAGTGCATTATATAATCAGACAGTATATATATTAGAGTTTTTATATTGCAGATGCATAGTCATTAAATCTCTATCTCAACACAAAAATAATAATATAAAAGTAACACGAAACAAAAACTGAACTGAAATCTTGACAAAAACTCAAAATTGAAAAGTCAAATTGAAATTATTTTCATGCAGAAAAAAAAACATTGGTTGTTGGTTATGTGGGAGCAACATTTATATTATTTTATTTATTTATTCTTTAATTTGTTGCTTTTGTTCCTAGTCTCAGACATTTGTGACCCTGGAGCACAAAAGCAGTCTTAAGTAGCTGGGGTATATTTGTAGCAATAGCCAACAATACATTGTATGGGTCAAAATTATTGATTTTTCTTTTATGCCAAAAATCATTAGGATATTAATTAAAGATCTTGTTCCATGAAGATATTTTGCAGTTTCCTACTGTAAATATATTCAAATTTTGTATGGGTCAAAATTATTGATTTTTCTTTTATGCCAAAAATCATTAGGATATTAATTAAAGATCTTGTTCCATGATATATTTTGTAAATTTCCTACCGTAAATATATCAAAACTTAATTTTTGGTTAGCAATATGCATTGCTAAGAACTTCATTTGGACAACTTTAAAGGCGATTTTCTCAATATTTGATGTTTATTTTTTTTGCACCCTCAGATTCCAGATTTTCAAATAGTTTTATCTCGGCCAAATATTGTCCTATCCTAACAAACCATACATCAATGGAAAGATTATTTGTTCAGCTTATGATGTATAAATCTCAATTTCTAAAAATTGACCCTTATGACTGGTTTTGTGGTCCAGGGTAACATTTGGTGCGACATTTCCAACGCATTAATAAGAGAGCAAGAATCAGAATAAAAATCATTAAGAAAGCAAACATAAATATAAAATAATAAAGTAGTTGCTAGAGCCCAATAAAAACGTACAACACACAAATTATGTGGCATTTCACAGCAGCACGTATTTATTTTAACAAAACATTTGCTTTGTATGAATCTCATATTATTCACTTCATAGCACTGAACAAAAAAAAAATTTCAGTCACACATCACTAGTGTCTTTTAGATTTTGCAAAACTTATAAAGATACCTCTACACGGTTACATCATTGTTTATCAAATCTTCCGACCACCTTTACAGCCTAACTTGGTTGTTGTCTTATATTGGTTAATGCTTTGTTCAACTTTACATTTCAGTGATTGACAGAAAAATGCAAATATTATTTTACTTAATTTTTCATTGCAAAAATTAGTCCGCACTGTTGCGATGGCAATAAATGAGAACATAAAAGTCACAATATATAATAATACATAATACATTATGTAATATAATACACAAATATTTGCTCTCAAGAACCTCGACAGAAAGTTTGCTATAAATTACATCTGTGTTTCAAACCCATAAATGTGAAAAGGACACTTAAGCAACTTCTTAAGTGTGAGAAACTGATTGTTTGGTTGATTAAAAACCCTAGCTGCTCAACTTTGGTATGCAAAACTCTTCCCACACTGAGTACAGTGGTACTGCTTTCCTCTAGTATGAACTTGCTTGTGTATATTCAGTGATAGTTGATAAGCTAAACTAGTAAGGTTTTTCTCCCGTATGAATGTGCAGATGACGTATGAGAGCTGATGCCTCCATGAAACTCTTTTCACACTGCGGACACCTGTAAGGTTTCTCTCCAGTGTGGAGCATTATGTGCCTGTCAAGATGTACTTTTTGCGTGAAGCTATTTTCACAATGAGGGCACGTGTATGGTCTCTCTCCAGTATGAACTCTTAAGTGTCTCTTAAGATTCTGTCTATCTGTGAAACTCTTTCCACACTGAGAGCAGCTGAAAGACCGGATCTTAAAGGCCTGATGATAAAATTTGATGTGCTTGCTAAGGTGTGCTTTTTCTGCAAAACTCTTTCCACAATCAGGGCAGGTGTTTGGTTTCTCTCCAGTGTGACGTCTTAGGTGTATCTCAAGTCTGTATTCATTTGGACAGACCTTTCCACACTCAGTGCAGGTGTAAGACTTCTGTCCGATATGCATTCTTATGTGCTTGGCAAGATGTTGCTTTTCTGTAAAACTCTTTCCACACTGAGGGCATGTGAATGGTTTCTCTCCAGTATGAATTTTTAAGTGTCTTTTAAGTCTGCATTTAAATGCATAGCTCTTTCCACAATAAGAGCAGGTGAAACTCGGCTTTTCTCCAGAGTGAATTCTTGCATGGTTCTTTAGGCTCTCTCTACTCGCAAAACCGCATCCACACTGATCACATTCGTAAGGCTTTTCTCCGGTGTGAATTCTTATATGGCATTTAAGGTGTTTGTTTAGTATGAAACTCTTTCCACAATCATGGCAGGTGTATGGTTTTTCTCCAGTGTGAGCTTTTAAGTGATACTCCAGGTTCTCTTGACGTGTAAAACTCTTTTCACACTGATGACATTTTAAAGACTTTCTGGCTTTTGCTCTTTGAGTTCTGCTTCGTGAGACATTCTTTTCATTAAAGGTTTCCTCTCCATTTAAAAGACTTTGAGGTTTCTCACACCACTCCACTCCATTCGGTTCTTGATTTCCCTCTTTCACGTCCATCAGACCTGGAAAAAAAAAGTATTAAAAATCAAATGCAATATGAATCAAAATGTAAAAAAAAAATAAACAACAGAGATCAAACATCTATTTGTATGTGATTTTGACTGGATAAAGTTAATTCTGATGTTAATACACTCAAAAAAGGCTAATCAAACTATTACTGTACAGCTTTATAAAGATTTAGATGAATAGTCCAATGCATTTTTAATTTCACTGCTTCTTATTTTCTAACTGCGGATTTAAAATCTGGCGAACTGCCAGATGCTTTGTTATCTTAATATTCTTCAGCAGTAAATAATCAAAATCAAGAAGGGACTCTAACCTCTTTGTTCCTGTGTCTTCATATATGTTCACGTTTCTGGATAACTGTGTGAATTGTGATCGCGGTGTGGAGACCAAATCTGCTGAGCAAAACATCAAACATAAGTCACTGAATTGATAGTTTCTATAAAAAATTTACCGATATTTCTGTTTTTGTTTTATTTGCCGACAAACTGTATTGCCATAAACAGTTAAAGTCAAAAGTTTACACACACACCTTGCAGAATCTGCAAAATGTTCATTATTTTACCAAAATAAGAGGGATTGTACAAAATGCATGTTATTGTTTATTCAGTACTGACCTGAATAAGATATTTCACATAAAATACATTTATGTATAGTCCACAAAAGAAAATAATAGTTGAATTTATAAAACTGACCCAGTTAAAAAGTTTACATCCCCTTGATTCTGAATACTGTGTTGTTACCTGAATGATCCACAGCTGTGTTTTTTGTTTAGTGATGGTTGTTCATGAGTCCCTTGTTTGTCCTGAACAGTTAAACTGTCTGCTGTTCTTCAGAAAAATCCTTCAGCTCCCACTAATTCTTTGCTTTTCCAGCATCTTTTGTGCATTTGAACCCTTTCCAACAATAACTGTATGATTTTGAGATCCATCTTTTCACACTGAGGACTAAGGGACTCATATGCAACTATTACAGAAG